AAAAAAAAAAAAAAAAAAATAACGAATACCTACACAACAGTAAAAAAAAAACAAAAAACAACAAAACAAAACAAAAAAAACAGGTAACTGATTTCTCAGAGAAAACGCTGTGTGCTGAATGAAGCTCAACAGAATCAAGTGCAAAAATTTTTTTGTAATCTGCAGTATTAACAGTACAGACTGCGCTATGTCGGAAATATCTCAGAGTATTCTAGCTCCTAATATCCAATCATGACGCTATGTTTTGAATCCTGGAGTGTTCGGATTCTAATAGGATATTCCAGGTTATTTCAAGACAGGCGTCTTTGAATACCTCAGAATATTTGGCTATTATTAACATACGAACCAGCAAGGCATGCGAGCCACGACCCCTAATCCCAACAAAAAGGTTCAACCAGAAGCTAGCTCGGCTAAACGATTATTTAGACTATAAAATTTCTATTTAGAAAAATGTATATTTAGACTAAACGAAGTGCTAGTTAGGTTAATAGGAGTCAGTGTTATTTAGACTAACCAGCTAATCACCAAGCGTGCTACGCGAGCCAGAAATCCAATGGTTCTAAGGCTTACTGCATGCTAACTAAAGCAATTTTTTTGTCAGGGAGGGAGGGGGAGGGGAAAGGGAGAAGCGCTATTTAGGCTAACCGGAATGGCTTGTACGCAGGCCTCGCATATGAGTAACACTCTCGTATATTTGGATTTTAACGAGAAGGTAGTGTAAACAAAGCGGCGAGGGCGGATTTCTGCAACGCCCCAGTCAAAGTAAATGAGAACCCGAAAGAAAAAGCTGCTGGATGCTTATAGATCCGATGACTTTATTTCTTTTTCTAATTACTACATGCATACTTTACGTACGAGAACAACTTCGTAACTTTGGATATTTACTACCTTCCGATAAACTTAGTGATTTTCCACAGCAGAACTTTAAAAAAAAAAAAAAGTTTGCAAACTCGACTGACATAAAAACACTAAAATCAAACGTCCAAAATCGCTCAATAAGTCGTTTTCTCTCATAAATCACATACACAATTAAAACTGAGATAAGACTAAAAAACCTGCGACTGAAACTTAAAACGCTGTGAGCTTTTTCGAATTCGCATAAGTCAATCTGTAGAATTCACATTGTACATGGTTTCTTTGTTAATTTTCCCGATGAAAACCGCTGACCAAAGTTACAGCGGCTAAATAATCGTCCGCAGTGTGGCAACTCCTTCCATTGTCCGAGTCACAGGAGACTTGGTACTGAGTTACAAGGCTGTTGATAGGCGAGGTACTGGGTCTGAATGGAGGGCTTGCCGAAGCAGATACACGCGGTCGGACCATCACACTAACAGTCTGTGAAGCAGCACACGGGAAATTAGAATTCCTGTTGAAAACTGCCGGTCCAAACGTACCACTGGGTAGAAACATAGAAGTGCTGGCAGGAAACGGAGGGTAGACTGGGCTCCACGGTCTAAAATACTTTTGGCTTAGTGGCGGGAAAATGACTGGAGACGGCTGGAACATGGCCGGTGAGATGACGTCACTGTTGTATGGCAGCGTCTTTGAAGCAGGGAGGACTGGAGCGGGTTTGTTCTTGATCTCATGTTTGCGCCATCTTGCGCGACGGTTTTGGAACCAGACCTGTAAATAAAAGTCAAACAAGCTAGCATGAGTAAAATGGATGTGCACTGCACTGCAACACTATATCACCATATCAATACAATGACAAGCAAATAAATGACGTGAGAGACAAATAAGTTTCAATGCGCTACCGGCTTGGATGAAGGACCAAATGTCGACGTAATGATAGCGTGGGCAAAGAGAATTAACATTTTGATGATCAAAGGAAACTAGTTGTTTTTTTTTTCTCTTCGCAGAATATTTTTAATTAAAAGAAACAGAAAACATGTTCTCCATGTTTCTACCGAGTTATAGAAACACCCGTGGAAGTTTGGGCCGGAACTCGAAAAAGCTGTGGAAATGCTCGCCCGGCGGCTCATGTTCCCACGGCATTTGTCGTCCTTCTAAACGTCCACTCGTGTTTCTATTTATACAATTAGATTATGAGCTCGAGATTTCTATCGCCTGATAGTTGACGAGGGCACAGTCTGAGTCAACTACGACGCATAGAAAACAAAAGCGAACAATCTAACTGTTCTACTAGTCGTTTAAAACTTTATCTAAATCCTCTTCATAGACACTTCGAAAACGCAAAGAAGCGGCCGTCATTTTGTTAACAAGCGCACACTGCTACCCTACTTACTATCTACAACAGAATATAGATAGTGAGTAGCGTGGCCAATCAGAGAACGGCATTCGTGATAGAAAGCAAATAGATTTATACTAAAACTCGATAGAAACACGCTACGTGTTTTCTATTTCTTAACTGTCTGGGATCGACTTACTGTGCTGCACAACCATCCCAGAAGCAGAGCTCTTGCGCAACATCAACTTCAAATTCAAAATCAACCTGGTTGAATCAATTTCTTCCTCTAAATGATGATCGATGATGAATTTCAGATTGTATATACGAATCAATTAATTCCGTCTTACCTGAATTCTGTCCTCCCCGATACTGAGTTCTTTCGCAAGGTCCTCGCGTATCTGAATGCCTGGGAATTTCTCGTTTTCAAAAGAGTCCTCCAACCGATTCAGTTGTTCATCTGTAAACGCTGTGCGACGACGCCTTTGTCGCGATCTGTCACCTTAAAGAAAACAAATAGCGCTCGTCAGTTTCATTCGTAGACTACATGTTAATAAATACTCACAGCAAACAAAGGTAGTAGTCTTCTGACCTTCTCAGTACAATCTCCACGAGTACGTCCGCGAATGGCATAAACCTTCCGATCGATGTAAATGGCGAACAATTTGACATGGAGAACAGAAACGTTCCTCCCTAAACTAAACTGATCCCGCTCCAGCGATAAAACTACTTTTACGGCAGACTCCAGTTCGACCTCTTATAATTATTTTAACAATTCCAAGTTACAAGTGAATAGATGAAAGATTATATATTTGAAGTGTGGAGAAAGAGGTCATAGGTTCGAATCCCATTGAAGCCTGAATTTTTTTTCGGGCTTCAGTTTCACAACTGTTTAAGTTGTATACATAACTGCGATGATCAATAAGACACGGTTACTTACGTTCGGTTTCCGGAGCCGGTCTTTTGGAGCTTTTCCTTGAACTCATACTGGTTTTGAAAAAAATTCACGTTTAGAGGATGCTGGCAGCAAGAGATGTTCTCGAGACACAACTGAGAGTTAAATGAACAGCTGCGAGTTTCATTCGTTTATATAGCATTTGACGCGCTTCGTTTAATCGTGGGCGGCCAAACAAAGTTAAACAAACAATAAACTTGTTACTGACTTGATTAGTGAATTATTTCTCACCTCTTTTGTTAAGAACTTGTGAGTTTTTATTCATTGTTAGTATTTTTGCGTCAACTTGCTCCAAAAGCGAAGTAATTGTTGTCGATTATTTTCGTCAAATTTGCAAACCTAGCATTTATATCCCAAAACAAAATCTTAAACTTTACGAGAAGTGTATTTTAGTAGGCTACACCATATTGTCCATATTTATTAACCCTTTCTCCTATTCGTGATCAAGTAGTTTTTCTAATCTTGTTTAAACACTTAGAAATCAAATAATGTATGTAACAGAAGATAATCATAGATTACGCGTGCAGGATGCTAGTTCTATGCCAGAGTTGTCGACATAATTTGCCGATTTGCTTAATCACAAAGAAGCGAATTGGTATAACTTTGCTCATCTGTGCAGAAACGGTAACCTGATTTTCACACTGCCGCAACGAAATTAAAAAAAGCGCTCCGGATCGCAGGTTAGCAGAAGGTGCTTTAGTCAAAGTGAAGCACACACAGAGAACGTGGATGGATTCAGAAGAAGCAAAAAGAAACCTATGCTACCTAAGGGAAGTAAAGTGGCAGGAAATTCTCTTTCGCCACACATTTTATCGTTTTTCCGAAACATTTCATGGTAAATCTCGATAATTCGTTAGTCGATACAATTAGCGTTTTGCGTTCGTTTAAAACCGTCACAGCGTGCTTTGCTCAGAGCAAGTATCAAAAAAACTTATCCTTGCTCAGAGAGAATAAAACAAAAAAAGGCGTTCGTCCTATAAAATCGAAAAGTCGAAGCAACGCCGGTAGTGGTTCGAGGCCTGACCGAAATTTGCGTAAAACTTCAGTTCATCGAGTTAAAGTGAAGTTCTTTTTTATCAGGCTGTCGCGCGTCTTTTCATTATGGGAGGCACAACTTACAGACAAACAGACACAATTAACTTGTTACCTTGATAAGTGAATAAAGTTCTCACCTCTAGTGTTACGCATCCTGCGAGTTTATCTTTTGTTATACACTAACTCCACCTTATAACTCTACCCTATCTGAGCTAATAATTGCTTCCTGTTGTTGTTGTTTTTTTCTTTCAACCGGTTCAAACCCAGCAATTTCGATAACAATCATGTGAACGTATGCAAGTAAACCTTTGATTTGGAAACCATTCAAATTTATACTATCACGGTTCTCTTGATCTATATCGTGATCAAATGCTGTTCCGTGTTTCGATCTAACTGTAAAAAGAGGAGTAGAAGTTCAGTTGGGAGAACGAGAAGTGATTTAGAAAAACGGGCCGCAAGCGAATTCCAGGCCACAGCTTCCAACGACTTCGCTGGCTCTCTGTTTCTGTCAATTAGGAAATGACATTAAAGGCGCCATTTCTTCTATCATGTGTTCCAAACGAATCAAAGTTTAAAAAACTTAAACAAAGCCATGACTTAAATTTGTTGATATCGCGAGTTATTTCACCTCTGCGACTCATCCATAACGCTATCTCACTTCTTTGATATCACAATTTATTTCACACTGCCCTTCAGATTACGTCCGGCCATTGATACTTCCTTCTGACTCGTGCTTCTGGCGTTACTCGCTTTGAGGACTTCGAGGTAAATCATTAGAACGATTTAGATGATAACACCTAAGCTGAACTACTTGTTTCTATATAAAACTTGGAAAGGTTTTCACTATGCCCCCCGATTGTAACAACTGTTTTTCTTGCTCAGAGTTAGCGAGAGACAATCTGCTTGAAAGTGAAGAATGATCGTCGCAGTTAATTTTCCAATTTAAGCAACTGGAAAGAAGAAGCCTGAAAAAAATCAGGGCTTCAACGGGATTCGAACCCGTGACCTCCGCGATACCGGTGCNTGCGACGATCATTCTTCACTTTCACCTATAACCGCAGTTCATATATGAAATATTTCATATAAACTTTACAGACAATCTGCTTATTAGCAAGGGCATTTGCACAGGTAATGAATGGTTACTGGCTATAGATATGTATAATCAACAATTGACCAACCAAGATACTCAGGTAACTGAAAAATCGTTTAAGCCTGGGTGTTCACTAGCGACGCAAACACAAGCGCAAACACAATAATTCTTAATAAAAAATTAAAAACGATCTCTGGCTAGAAATGTTTATAGATATACGAGCTTTCGACTGTTAGGTCTACAGTCTTCTACGGGTATTCATCTTTACCCGTTGAAGACTGTAGATCTAACAGTCGAAAGCTCGTATATCTATAAACATTTTTAGCCAGAGATCGTTTTTAAATTTTTATTATGCTCAACCCTGGCTACGGTCCTTCAATATTTTTACAATAATTTTTATGTCACCGTGAAAACGGCCTTGACGCGGGCATAAGCACAAGCGCAAGTACAAGCACAAGGATCATTTTGTCTTTGCGTTTACGCTTGCGTTCACGCTGCAACAAGTGAAAACGAAATACCGCTCAGGCATAACACAAGCACAAGGATACTTACCACACGTGGTTATATTTGGCCAATGAAAACACTGGATCCAGATTACCTCGCGCCTAAACAGTTTTCCATAATGGGGAAGGTTCGGATAATTTTGCTTGTGCTTGTGCTTGCGTCGAATTTCGTTTTCACTTGGGTCATCCCTATTGGTTGCATTTGTTCTTGCGCTTGTGCTTGCGTCGCTAGTGAAAACTAGGCTTAAAGGAGTTCATCGCTTTATTTTGAGTTATCTTGGCCACATACAAAATTGTCTTTACTACGGTAGAAAAACACCAAAGAGATAAAGGAACAAGTTTAGGATGGAGAAGATTGACAAAGATAACAAACGACGAACTTGAAAAATTTAGGCTAAACTTTTCAAGATGGGCAGACCGTGACGTAGCTCCTTTGAATCAACAGATCAGAGCAACGTACCCCCTAATAAAGTTGAGCCTACAACAGGCGGCTTGAATATATTATTAACTAGGATATTTATCAAATGAGTACCCTTCCAAAGAAGGATATTTCTTCATCTTTGTAGTGACACACTGTATTTGCTCTTTAGTCCACGCTGCTGTGTGTCTGGCGACTGAAGGAGTATTGTACAAAATCTGGCTGCATTTTTCAATATACTCCTGAGAGCAAGTGACACCTACTAGATGGTCGCACAATCTTCGCAGCGTTTCCTTGGGTCGTTGAACTGTTTCGTGTCCCGGAATATCGATGACGTCATTTCCGTACCGTTCCCTGATACGCTTGTTGGGTTGGCCATAGAAAAGTAGAAATTAACTTTGTGCTCTAATAATTTCGTGTTGGTTATCTGTCAGAAAAGGAAATGAGAAAAAGAAAGTAAAATTGTGTATTATGCGACATGGATTAACAATAAAGCATTATGCGATATATATGCGACATGATTTGTAAAAGGAAAAAAAAAACAAGAATAAAAAGCAGCGATATTAAAGAATGACGTTTCGACGGCTCCATGTCATCATTCTCAAATCCAAATAAAATACATTACATGAGTTCATTATATAGTGAATGTACGTTTGAAGGTCTCAGTGCATATGATTAAGAGATAAAAAATAATCGATGAATAAAAATAATCGATGAATAAAAATACCAAGCACGGTGCGCTTGAACTGTCAAATAAAAAGTTTTGCCTTAATGGAGTCAGATTGAGTATTAAGTGTTGTTTTTTTTGTTTTTGATGAAGAGCATTTCATAAATTAAATAATCCAGTTTCGGACTGCATTTCTTGAGGATTGTAAATTGGTCACGGAGATCTTTGTTCCTCAGATTGTGTACGTCCCGCAGGTGTTTACCAATGACAGAATGGTTATGCTCATTAATGCTCTGAAATAGGTCAGTGTCGGCATGTATAGCCCACATAATCTGCGTCGCACAGATCACATTTGTATTCATAAACAACGCATTGTTCGTTAACAAGAGGTGGGTTGGGTTCCGTCACTTTGATCTCATCAGCAATTTTCTTGCTCCTAAACACTGGGCGCAAGTCGCTGTTAATTTTCTTGGCAAGATCGGAGAGCTGTCTTCGTACAAAGTCGGCTGATCGCTGATCTTTAAAGGTAAGAATAATCCAAACGGGCTTATTAACTTGAATATCAAGTGTTTGTTCTCGGTCTTGCGACTCAATGAATCTGGTGATTGTACAGTTAATGAGTCTCTCAGGGTACTTAAGCTTGAGAAAGATCTCTTTCAGNTCTGCGTCGCACAGATCACATTTGTATTCATAAACAACGCATTGTTCGTTAACAAGAGGTGGTTTGGGGTTCCGTCACTTTGATCTCTTCAGCAATTTTCTTGCTCGTAAACAATGGGCGCAAGTCACTGTTGATTTTCTTCGCAAGATCGGAGAGCTGTCTTCGTACTAAGTCGGCTGATCGCTGATCTTTAAAGGGAAGAATAATCCGAACGGGCTTATTAACTTGAATATCAAGTGTTTGTTCTCGGTCTTGCGACTCAATGAATCTGGTGATTGTACAGTTAATGAGTCTCTCAGGGTACTTAAGCTTGAGAAAGATCTCTTTCAGGTTATCACATTCAGCAGCGAAAAGATCAGATGAAGATGAGAGTCTATATGCACGATTTAACACAGTCGTGAGAAGAGATCGTTTATATCTGTTATCTACATGGCTTTGGTAATGGAGAAGAAGGCCTTTCATGTATCTGTTGTTTTCCTGCAGACGCATGTTCTAACTTGGCTACCCATCTTCATGAGTTCCATTCCGATGAAAGTTTGTCATTGATTGCTACTTCCATCGTAAAGTTGATTGAAGGGTGTGCTTTGTTCAGCGTTGCAAGAAAAGCTGTAGCAGTTGGAATGTCCTGCACCGCGGCTAAGGTGTCATCCACGTACCTTCTGTAGAAATAGGGTAGTTTATTCTCCCTTTTAAGCTTCTCCTCGATGGAACACATGAATGTATTTGCCATGAGCGGTCCCAGTGGTGATCCCATCGCCACGCCATCTATTTGTTCGTAGAGGCTGCCATTAAACTGGAAAAGTTGGTGTTTGGTAGCCACTCTTAGAAGGACAACGAGATCATCTCGGCTGATGTTCAGGTTGTATGTCACATTGAACCAATCCTCAGTAAAAACTTTGTTAGCAAGATCTGTATTGTTTCTTCTAGAGGCACGTTCGTGAAGAGCGAAGATACGTCATATGATATTAAAATATCATGCTCACTAAATCGCATCGCCTTGATCTCATCGGCAAACTGGAAAACATCAGTGACTGTACATTCACTATATAACGAACTCACATAACGTATCTTATTTGAATTTGAGAATCATAGCATGGAGCCGTCGAAACGTCATTCTTTAATATCGCTGCTTTTCATTCTTAAAATATTTTGCCCAAAAAAATAAGTACTGTTTATTAAAATTAAATTGTAATACGTAACTTTTTCGGAAACTTTCAAAATTCATTTGTCACAATTTTGGATGGATGTTTTTCAGTTAATGTAATACGTATTGTGCATGTATTTTGCAAGGTACAGTTCACGGTAATTTATACTGGTCAATTATAATTTGTGTTAAAATGCTCTTTAGGTTACTAGATATTTGGCTATTTTATACATTAACCATGTTAAGAAGAATCAATTTGATAAACATCTTAATTTATTTTGAGTTTTACATCATTAGCTACAAGCCTATAAAATGAGATACATGTATTCTCAAGTTTTACATCAGTTCAGGTATCTATGCACAATCACACAGAGGGGATACCTGTTTAAAGATTGGCCAGGCTTAATTAATTACAAAGGTGACCACAGCAGAATCATTCGGTTTCATAGCACTGGTACATGTAGAGTTACATCAATACAGCACAATCAGTTAAAGAATGCGAAGTGCCTTCATGCATTGAAATACTGAAAAAAATACAATTTTCCCTCACAAGCACAACATTTGACTTCACTAGATTTTTAAATAGTTACAGAACTTATCCTTCAGTTTTCTAACCTTTTCACACCCCTCTAAGAATTCCTCTTCAGATATAACACCATCGTTATTCGTGTCCATCAACTGCAAGAAAAATAAATGTAAAGTAACTATGTCAATATAAAAGCACTGTTTAGGAAAGAGTAACAAGAGACGAGTCTATCAGCTCACTGCCTATTCCTATCCCATTGTCCTTTTTTAAACATAACTTTTTAAATCTAAATACTGAATATCAAGATATGTATACGCATTATTTCATTTCAATGCAGCACTCTTTGTAGTCCTACGGTGTACATTAAAATAGTGTACTGTTTAATTAATTTGCTAATGATAACACTTCAGCCACTCATGCTTCTTCATAAGGCTACAATTGTATGATATGACTTGTCAGAAAGAATCCTAGACAAATTTCGTGTTAAGTAAAATGCACGTAAATGTACAGTGCTGCTAAAAAGTAAGTTACCACCTCCTATCTCTCGTCGAGACAAGACTCTCGTCTCTCAAGACAAGAGTCTTGTCTCAAGAGGCGAGAGTCTTGTCTCCCGAGAGCCAGTGAAGTGTATATTTTGAAATAAATTACAAGCAGTTTTAAAATGTTTTATTTGAGATACTTAGCAAAAAAGATAAAACGATCTTTTAAAATACATCTTGAAAAGGAAGAAACAAAAGCTAACCCTGTGATGTTTCACCTTAAAAAAGTTAAAATATAGAGTGTGACAATCGCTTAGTGCGTGAAACTCGAGTTACATTTACCTTCTGTCTTTACATCTTTATATTTATTTACCTATACATATTTACAAGGTATCAAGAGCCAGTAACAACTGATTGGGGACTAAATTAAGTTTCCTGTAGTTCTCGCCAGACTGCTCCATTTGCACACCATGTGAACAAAGAGGGTCGGAATACTTAACTAAGTGTGTTACACTAAACTGACTTCCATGCATGTACTTTAAGCAATGTTAATTCCTTACCATAAAGAGTCTATTCACTTGTTCCTCAACACTCATCTCTGTTCCAGCTGTTGCTGGCAGTGAATCAAGCCCCATCATACAGTGAACTGAGTGAACTACTGTAGCCATCTCCTGAAAGAAGTAGTAATAAATTGAAACACTAGTTTTTACAAATGTATGTAAATAAAAATCTTACAATATGAAAATCCAAAAGAATTGCCCCCAAAACAGCCCATGGTAAACAAAAGAAGAGCCTATTGTTGTCTGAAAAGGGGACTGTTTTAATAAATTATTAATAATAAACATACACGTTTATAGTACATACATATTACTTCGTGCATTACGAATACATCTGAGAACTGAGCTACATGGCAAAGGGATGCTACACAGAATTTCACAATGTGTTATCATGGTTCAGTTATTTTCTAACAAACCTCTCTTGTTATACAGCCATCGCCATCCAAATCATACAACTGGAATGCCCATTTCATTTTTTCCTCTCTACTGCCATAAAGTGATAAAGACAGACCAGTGACAAAGTCCTGGAAAAACGAAATACATGTACAGAACATATTTTAAAAACCTTTACATTCTTAAAAATGTACGAAATACAGAAAGGTTATCCAGAAGCTTTAGAACTAAATTGTAAAACAATGACTTCTAAAGTTTACCAAAACAAATTTAAAAATTGTCCAGTATATGTTTGAGCTCAAGACACTCAAATAATTATTAATAATTACTCCCACAGTACCTCTCTCTAGGGGTAATGCTACAGTGGACAAGCATCACATCCAAAGAGGAGTAGAAATACTATTAGTGGCTTCTACAATATACAGAAACTAGAGACAAGGAGCAGACTGACAGGCTACTTGCTCTAACACTGGCCTTTAAATACTACAAACCACAACATGAATACCACACAAGAGTTTTTAGAACAGGAGCATTGGGCCAAGTGACTACCTACTCAGCTGTTTTCAATAACTCTGCTGACTTTCTTTTTTCAAATAACAAGTTGCCCTGACTAGTCTACCATCCTGCTCAAAACCTTTATAAGCCCCATGTACATTTATATCTAGTACAATCATAATGTAATCTCATCTCAGGTTAACACCATCCCTTTTGTAGATAAACAAATTTCGTCATTTCCAATGTTTTTAAATGTGTATTTTAACATAATGTATGCAAATGAAGGTCATTTAAACATGTTAATCTTAAGGAAAAAATCACCTCAAAAGAAACTTTTCCATCTCTATCATGGTCAAACACATTGAAGACATGATTTGCATAGAGACTTGAATCTAGGCAGAAAAACAGATTATGAATCAGTTAAAATATGCAAATGAATGAGCTTGCACTAAAAGTCATATTACACAATAAGGTAACAAAATAGTGTCGACAATAAAAAAACATCAGTACTAGTTAATAACATTACACAAATGTCACAGTACATGGTACAATTATGCACAAAAGAAAGGCAAGTACTATTGAAAACAGTATTTTATGCATAATTTTGTACTTTGATATTGTTTTCAATGTAACACATTTTGTGCAGTTCAGTCACATATTATTTCCTGTTGTACTATTTTTCCACAAAATATTCTGGTTCTGTAAATAAAAAGTCAAAACTTAAANCAGACGTTTGACCGCTGTGTTCAACCTGGGTAATGAAACTCGTTCCCAAAGACCGCGATCTTTTTGGTCAGCGCCAAGAATGAGCCAGCATCAATCACAGCGGTTACTGTCTCTACGCATGCTCAGAAACTGTTATTGGAATTGAACTGTAAAGCACAACATTTAACAACAACAATAACAACATTTCTTAGTTCCTATACAGTCGAACCTCTCCATACGGACAGTTTCCTATGTACCGACAAAATTCTCATACATTTCCTCTAAAAAAACCTCTATAATACGGACCTTCTCTAAAACGGACAACGGACACTAAATCTTGTCCCCAGGGAGCAAATTCATACAAATTTAACCTCTTTATTACAGACTCCGGGGTTACACATTGACACGTTATCATTCAGCGATGCCAATACCAGAACACATCAAAATGTTAGTTTTCAAAACCTACAAACAATACAGACTTAAAAGTGACGTCATCATAGTGACCTCTCCAATTATCGGACACCTCTCTAATACGGACACTTCGTTCTGTCTCTTCGCTCTCCGTTTTAGAGAGGTTCGACTGTATCTAACGTTGCTGAACTGATTTTTTTTTCTGTCATCATTCTCAATCTCAATAATTCCAGATTCCGCTTTCCTATTTCCCGACTTTCCCATATCATTTTGGTTTTTGGTTTTCGGTTTTGAGTTTCCGGTCTCCGGTTTTAGGGTGGGCCGTGACCGAGTGATGATGTTTTCTAACATTTCGCCAGACTCAGTCTGAATTATCATACAATTAAAAGAAGAAATTCATAATTCAAAAAACGTAGGGAAGGGTCTTTGGGTTTTTTTTTTTGGCTTTGCAGTTTCCTGATGCCCGAACAGGTGAATGGTTCTTCTTTGTTGCTCTGACGACCGGGCAACCCTCGAAAAATCAGCTTCCCAAACGTTTTACGGCGGTCAATTTTCGTTAATAGTTGATCGTATGTATCCTTTATATTTGGACAAGTTTCAAAAGAAAACCCCTCCCCTCCCTGGGCCGTCGAATTTTTGACCAGAAGTCCCCAGACTCCTGCCAGTCATTTGTCTCTCAACATGGACTGTCGAAAGTTTGTTTTGCTCTGCGCCGGGTTATTGTCGGTCGGTTTGGCTGAAAATAGGGAAACCAAAAGTCAGGATGATGACCATTATAAAGAAGGAGACTCCTACTTTTCAACACGTTACGAATCTCACCCACATACGTGTAGAAAACCTGGAAATTGCGAGGTACTGTATAACTCAGGCAGCGAGATCAAGTTATGCAAATGTTGTTATTCCAGCTGGACTTACAATAGCTTAGTTTTAACAGTAATACAAGCCCAAGTCTACTGAAATAAATGTATTTAGATTGAAGTAATGCTCCCTAATTTGAAAAATGTTTGCATTGTTTGCTGATTTGAAACTAGCCTTGTGGTCCGAAAGTCTTAGCACTTCAGGCTTATTAATAAATAAAGACAGAAGCATACATACTTCTGATTAATTTATAAGGCAAGTAATCTTAAATTATACTTATGGTTTATGAATAAGCTGATAGACTAAAACTATGCTTATGCTTAAAATTTTGGTGATCCAACTTTAGATTCTTGGAATAATTAACAATTCTTTAATTATTCTTTATTTAGCTCATTGATACAATTAATGAAAGCTTAATGAACCAGATGGTTTTCTTGTGAGCTCCCTGGGCAGACAATTAAATATCTAGATAGACAGCAGGTATAAATAAAAGAAAACACAGAAGTAGAAATTAATTAGGTGTACAAGATGTATGAACACTCATTGCAGAGGCATGGCAACCATATATGCATGTGTGTTCCTCCTGGAAATGCCCCAAGATATATTTAGTGTTGAAAAATGTCTTTAGTATAGGTAATCACACGGTTTCGAGTTTAATTTGGAATTAATTTGTGCAAGTGAGTTTTTTAAAAAGCTGAAATTGCACAAGCCGCTTTGGTGAGTGCAATTTCAGCTTTTTGGAAAACTCACAAGTGCAAATAAATTCCAAATTGGATGAGAAAAACTGTATGATTACTTATTAATAATAGAAACATGACAAAATTTGCGTGGAGGAAGTGCTGAAAGATCTTTTTTGAAGCCTTTTTTTCCCATTTCTGCACAAAATGTTCATCATCATTTTACATGGTATCATTGGCTTAGAAAATATCATATTGTCTTTCAGCCAATCACAATCCAGAATTACCATGTGTAATTTGCACTGGCGGTACACTTTTTGCACTGGTGTTATACTTGACCTGCACTGCTCTCACCCAATCAGGATCAAGTAATTTTTTCATGTACATTATTAATAATGAAATAAGCTGGTTTGACAGTCTCTAGTCTCTCCTATTAAACCCAATATCAATTATCCCAAACAACAAACAAACCCAAACAACAGAAGTTAGCAAATTTTATACTCAACACTTTCTTTGCTTGGATTTATGAAAGTGTTCCCAGGAAAATATGGGAAATGGCATTTCTGAGCTTCTTAAATTTATAAATTTCATGGAGACATGCCCCAAAACCCTGCTAATGGCTCTTGCCTTAATTACCTCTTAGGTGCATACTCCATGGAAATGTAGTGCTACATCCCAGCTTTGACTTTGATTTAGACCTCTTAAAATTATGTTAATCAACAAAATATTAAGAAATAAAACAAATATATTTAAAACACAATCATAATAATGCTATCTGCTATTTAACAATATCGTTTGTTGTAGGTGATTCGTGAAGTTAGCATTGGAGAATATTCATTGAGACACATCAATACAGAACATTTTAGTTACCAAGACATTTTTGCAGCATTTCAGCAAAATCAAACTCAATAAAGGCATTGGTCAAATTATTAGATATTAATTATACATGACTTAGTTAATTTGAACTGGAGGGGGAACATTTGGCTTTTGGTTGTTTTGTCTGGACCTCGCTGTGCTTGCAGGCCTATAATTGCCATGACCTCAAGCCAAATACATTGTTGATGCTAACCCATCCAGACCTCCTACTCCGTATAATTTTTGTGTAAGTCTTTATGTGAGTTTTGGATGTCTGGCTCTTGGTCTGGGCCCAGTTCTTCAAAGGCTGGATAGTGCTATCCACTGGATAAATCACTATCCAGTGGATAAGTGTTAACAAAACAAGCTATGCTGGCTGTTTTATCTGATGGATAGTGTTATCCAACCTTTGAACAATTAGGGCGTGACTTTTAAGAGATAAATTATGGATAAGAGGGCTAATAACAGAGCTATCTGCTTATTCAAACTACTGGTCAGGAGTGATTTTGATTATTCTTTTTCCTTTGACCCTAAACATTAATTTGCTGACAATAAATATATTCTTGTGACAGGATGTCAGCATTTGCCGTCTACATTACTTGATACGCTCATGCATGTTGGTTCATTATACTATAATAGTAATAATAATAATTAAAGCTTTATTTAAAACTGAAAGACCGATCAGCAAAGTCCGGGAGGAAGACGCTGGTATAAACCGATGATCAGTATCTATAAATTACATGGTAAAAAACAATAATCAAACAAACAATACCAAAAATTAAAAAAAAAAAATCTAAACACTACGTTTATGATCAGTCTTGTCTAAATCACTAAAAAATTTAAAAAGTTTAGTTTTAAAAATTTTAAGACTACCGCAGTTTCGATGTTTCTTTGGGAAGTCATTCCATTCCTTGGCAGCAGTGTACATGAATGTGGACTGGCCCATAGCAGTTTTAGTTCTAGGGAGATGAAGTTCTCTGTAATAATTAATAATTAATAATTAATACATATTCTTGTTTCATCCAGGAGGTAGATGGCAGAGCTCAGCAGCAGTGCTGGGGATATGAAGCAGGCTGTAACTCACCAGACAAGTGGTTCACAAAACCACACTGTGATGATAATATGTTTGGGAGACATTTTAGAACGTGAGTAGAATTTTTGTCAAATTTTTGTACATGTGTGTATAATAGTAATGTTTGATCAGTATCTGTGCAAACCAAATTGTGGCTATCTATTGTGTTTTAAGCTTGCGTGCTCAATTGCTCCTCAATAAACTTTGAATGCAAGTTGCTAAGTAGACTGCTGACCTGTGGTGTTCTGAGTACATTTAAATGGGGACTTGGGTGAAGGAAGATCAGCAAGCAAAAATTATGCTCAAAGTCCTGCACAAAATATTTGAAAGATTGGGCACTGAAGACTTCTTCAGAGAAATTGACGCTGACCTGTGTCAATATGCATATGCCTTTCGCGAGAGTGGTGTTACTTCTAGTATCAACATGAAATATTGCCTGGAGCAAGACTTTCAGAGTCTTTCAGAGCGCAAAAGTTTGCATTACGGTCTGCTAAACTTCAAATGTTTGATGACCAATCATGCGACATTTGACACCCAAATGCAATTAGAGTATGTTTCAGCATCAAGTGTCCACGCTTATATGCAAGCGATGGTATGTTAAGAAATTTCTGAAAGTATTCACAAATCTTGTAAACAATAATCTTGGAAAATCTTCTGTAATCTTCAGGTGATTTTCAACCTTTGAAAGTGTTCAGATAATATTCACAAATCTTCATAAAGTTTCAGGTGATCTTTGGAAGTGTTTGGAAATCTCCTAATTACCTTTTGCTATCTTAGTTTGGAACTCAGAAGGTTTCAATCAAACTTCGATAACCTTTGAAATACCTCAGATAACCATCAGCAGTTTTCATGTGTCTTGGTACTAACTTTACAAATCTTTCTTGTAATTTGCTTTGATGAACATTACACTTGAACTGCACTGCCCTTGGCCAATCAGAATCAAGTATTTTTTCAAGTGTTTTATTAGATGGAGTTATGAGCTCAGGTTTGTCCTTCACAAGATAGCACAATAAGATTTCTTTTATTGATTACATTACTCTACAGTTCAGAGCTAAGGAAGCATTTTTCATTTACTTCAGACACTGTTATGGCAGTTGCTACATGTAGAAGTTTAACATGTTTTTTGGTTAACATTCATGGGAATAAACAAACAAACAAACAGAAGTACAGTTGTACGTTGTCTATTAATTATAAACTAGTTCTTTGGTTTTTGTTTTTGAGAAGGTACTTGGTGGGCGTGGGGTGTGCTTGTTCTTAGGAATTGTAATTCCTCAGTGCACTCTTACATGGCTAATAGTGTGATTAAAAATTAATGAAAAGGATTTTATGAGACATTTCTACTACTTTTGCACATTTAGTTTTTACTTACTACATTTGAGCATAATGCAATGATAATAGTTTGATATTTAAAAATACACAACAACAACATCGAACTTTATTTGTACTCTCTCATGCTATGATACTAATTGTACCAAAATATTGATGATAGAAATTAGAGTACTGGCTGCCTGGAATAACCATAGGGGCTAACAGAGCTAGGCAGCCAGTTGACATTAGTGTTATTCTTAAATGAAAATAAATTGCAGGTCAGCAAGGTAGCACAAATGCACACATAATAAGAAAGGAAAAGAAGAGAAAAAAGGAGAGAGAGTCTGAAAAGTCTGAAATAATTAAATTTCTATATTGGTATAAAATATTAAAATAAGGGAAGCACACAATTAATAGCTATGAAAACTAATAGCACCTAATAACATATACAATCATGTTAAGTGGACTTTCTAAAAGTTTTTACACACATGTACTTCTTATTGTTGACCAGGATTGAGGACAAAGTTTACCAGTTCTGGAAGGAAGGTGATTTTGGTTATGTGAAATCTGTTCGGGATAACCTACGATTTGTATGTAAACCTAGGGAAAATGAGGTTAGAAGCTTAAACTTTGTGAATTTAAAGGCCTTTAATTATATTCGTGTATTTTTGATAAATACTGGCTCATGTCAGAGTTAGGAAGGATCACAAGGACATTGATAGTTACTAGGTATTTTCATCACGTGATTCCTTCACATGTGGTCTGTTTGCAAAAAGATTATCGTGAATGATGAATTATTTTACTTTGACACACAATTATAATAAGTGCATGCTTGGCTTAATGGTTGATTATTTGTACTGTATTGAATATTTTAGTACAACTGCAGTACATCTGGGGAGATCTTTATAATTGTACTTTATTTGGTGTTAGGTACTTAAAACAATGTAACAAGTATCCTATATGGTCGTGATAATAAATTTGTATAGTTATAGAATGAATATTTTCTTTGAGGACTGAAATATGGCTTAGTTAAGAAATATGCTAACTCTGAGAAAACAAGTTTAAACTCGGCCACAATGGTTGTAGTGTTTGACAATCAACTGTTAGCATAGCTAATTTTTTTAGATTAAATTAAAAAATTCTTTTGACTTTGTTTTTTTGTCTTCCATTTTGTGCCCACAACTTGTTGAAATTGTGTAACTGAACGTTGATTAACAGCATTGTAAAATATTTTATGTGTATTCACTTCTGAGCTGATGTGTTAATGAAACAAACAGTAATTAAAGAGGATATGTTTTTTTTAACTTCAATTCTTAGGTGGATAGTTCCTCACTTGTGTGCTCCGAACAGTTGACTTACTGTAAAGCTGAACACTTATACATGGATCTTAGGAACAACGAAAATCAGGATAGGTATATGTAAAGTTAACAGAGAACCTTCTTTAATGTAATGTTTGCTCTCTACTCCCTGGAGGCTATCTCTTCTGTGATGAAAAACATGGGTCAGATAACAGAAGTGCTGTGCATTCCAAATTGAAAGATATATTTGTCTGCTTTCTGGTTTGAACTAGCTACAGTGAACATGAAATTATCAGGATACATCTGTCAAAAGATCTAATGTAAGTTACTCTTAAACTCTTACATGCAAGTTGCAAGAGAATATATTTAACTTTTCATAACTTCTCAGCATAAAAATGTAAGAATGGTGAAGTTGAATTTTACATATTGAGGGCAATTTTCTCAGCAAGCCCATAATAACAACATGCAGAGCACTGTTAAGTGTTTAATATGTATTCTGATATTGATCAGTGTTATTTAACATGTTTTATAGGTCACAATCAAATGTTTTTAAGCCTCAGAAAATTGGTGGGTTTTGTAACATAGATTCTAACACCCTCAGCGAAGATGGAAAATACAGAATGGAGCTTAGTTCATGGTAACAAAACCTCATATCATTTTAAGGTGGCTCCCTATAGTTTTATGATCGCACGCGCACATACATGTAGGATGAAAGCTCAAGTAATCTGCGTGTGCTCAGAGGAAAATGTCAGTGTTTTTCAATTTTTATGACGTCAATATGAGCACAGAAAAGCAAAACTGACAGTGAATTTTCTCACGTTTCCTTTGGTGAATTTTTTTAAAATTTGGCTCAGTTGTAACCACATACAATTCTTATAAATACCCTATTTTTGTTTAAATCTGTCAGAGCTAATCTAATACATTTAGAATAATGACAAATTATAGAATATTGGAAAAACCGTCTGAACAACCTTGACCAATTCAAAATATCAGGCAATATCATTTCCATGGCAAAGTTTAAGAAATTTTCACCAAAGGAAAGTATAAATATTAAGGAGTTTAGGCCAAAATGAGGAATATATCTACCTGTCATCAGATGGGATGTTGCCATGGTAACAGCCTTAATCCAAAAATTGACAACCAAACAATAAGCATTATTTTAACAGTACCCATACTGGTAAATCTCTACAGGGAAAACTTTAAGAGAAATTAACTAAGTTTCCTTTTCTAACTTGTGCTCTATAGGGAGGGTGTTCATAATAACTCTAGGGAGGCACCATAAATTTAACATTATCAAGCATAAGATGCAGTGTGTGATCACATTACCAAACATTAGGAAGAGAGTCAAAAAGAAGAAAAGAGTAATTTTGACCCCAGCTGTGATGAAACAATTAAGAGGGCTGTTATGATTAATCATTTTTATATTATTAATTTAAGAATAATCAATTATTTAGCACTTGATAACTTTGAGAACGATTAGAAAACAGTCCTAAGAAAATATGCACACTGGTTGGTTTAAAATTGTATTGCTATAACTCGATAGAAACACAGAACTAGCATCAGCTGTGGACGTAATGATGGTACAAGCAAAGAGAATTTACATTTTGATAATCAAAGTTAACAAGTTGTTTTCCTTTTTTCGTTGTGGTGTTTTCTAAAAGAAATAGAAAACATGTTCTCCATGTTTCTATCGAGTTAGAGAAACACTTGTGAAAGTTTGGGAGAACTCGAAAAAGCTGTGGAAACAAACTTCCACTTGTGTTTCTATAACTCGATAGAAACACGGTCCATGTTTTCTATTTTTTAAGTGTTAATTAAGGGGGAAAGAACTCTGGCTGGGGATAATTGTAAGAGTCCCACCAAAAATTTACAAAAGTCTACTGGTGTGTGACATGGGAACCTTGTACTTTAGTAACAAAGACCAACTAACATTTATTCACAAGTGATTTTCTGCATTGGACATCCACATGATGATTATTAATAATATTGAGTATTATTTGACTGATCTTTTATCTCCGTATTTAAGTTATAGACATTGAAATTTTGTTGTTGGTGTTATCTATTTCTTGGAATTTAGGGCAGCTTAAATAAGAGTTTTTGTACAAGGTATGCACAATAGTTCATGGTTGAAATTATATTTCTTTCATTAAAAGCATCAAAACAGTTTAAATAGTTGTCTGAAAAATCAATCTGAGAAAAGATACGTAGAATATGATTTGAAATACTGGATCACATTCTCGTTCTGAAACTCTACAATTAAATAGAGGCTAATGTATATTTTTGCAGGTTAAATGAACTGGAGGACTTCTCCTCATTGCCTTTTAAACCAAACCAGGAGAAGCACTGTGATGTCAGAGTGGAAAAACCAACATTCTTTATGAAACTGGATGCAGGTTTGTTTCACTTAACTGTGGTGCTGCAATTTGTAATTTACACCATGGGGAGAGCTGTAAATTCTGATTGATTATCAATGAGCAACCCTGTTCTTTTAATATTGGAGTCTTCCTAGAGTTTATGCACAGACCAAGCACGGTAATGTCTACACCGCGTTGACCTTGTGTCAGTCTTGCGTAGTATTAGTCCTCACACTCAGTTAGCAATTCTTAGTAATAAAAGTGCTTCACAAGTCATGATTACGATCATGATGTGTCAGACTAAAATTCAGTGATAATCCTTTTTGCCCCTCATTTTTGTTTATGATTCCTATAAATCTTACGATGTAAATTTTTAGGTGGATTTGGACTCAACTTCCATGCACTCCAAACACCCACATTATTATGAGCTTCTCAATACAATTTTGTCACTTAGAGATCCTAAGATTTTTCTCAAGTGTTTCTTGAGATTTTTGTGCATGGAAATTTGGCTTATGACTGGTACAAATATGGAATTGGGAGTGAATAGTCAGGTTTGAGTGGGTGGGTCATTGTGTTGTATCCTTTGGTAAGACACCAACTCAAACAGTGCCTCTCTCCACCTTTAGGACTCTCAAAACCTTTCAAACATAAAATAGTATGTAAATCAATGAAAACCCTTCACAAATTAGGTCGTAATACTAGCAATAATGATAAATATTGCATAAAACGTACAACAGTTTTTAAAGACATGTTTCGGCATGCTTATGCCATCTTCAGTTTAATAG